CACACACACACACACACACACACACACACACACACACACACACACACACACACACAGGCTTTCTGTGGTAAACGTCACTTCTCTCTTTTTATGAACAGAAAAGAAACAGAAATCAGGACAAAAACAAACGTCCACATTTAGTCAAATGTTTTGGAAGCTCTTCTTTGAACTAAAAAAGATTTCTTTCTTAAAATGAAACTTTTTTTTAACAAGAATTAGAGATAAATACAGTAAATACAGAGCTAGTATCACAGATACAGATACTTTTCTTTAAAAATGAGGTTTAAGTCAAATTTGGTCAAAATAATCGAATTACATTTTCAGATTCTTGCTTTAAAAGCTACATTTTGACACATGGATCATTTTTATATCATCAGTTTATCCAGCGAAATGACTTAATTTGTCTTGTTGGTTACAATAATACATTACTCTTTGGTCTGAATCCTAATTTTTTGTAAATTTATTGAGTAATTTTGATGTCAATATAAAGAGGAAACCTCAAATAGTATTTTTACATTAAGATTTCCCAGCTGGAAAGAAACAAAAACATTGCTAACTCACAGTGAAACATTCAAAATTTTACTACAGCAAAGGTTTGTTCCCCCAACTAATGGTCAAATAAACAATAAACTAAATAAATAAATAAACTTTCCAAAGTTTTACCAACTAATTCTTTTTGTTCCCACAGATTTTACACTTCTTATCCAGTTGATAAACATAAAAATGTGTATTTTATCAGCTTGTTTTAAAGTGTTCTTGTCATGACTCAGCACTTCGTGCAGGTTACAGCGAGGCGTTTCATCTCAGCGTGCTGCTGGGTGTTGAGGTTACCTGGCTGTGCAAACATGACAGGTATTTATAGGCTGCTGGGTCTGAYAGCACCCCGAGCTCAGAGACCGCAGGTCTACAAACCAAACCTGGTTTCCTCTGATGTCCTACTTTCTGACAGCTTTAAACCCCAGAATCAACACGGCGTCGAACCAGAGCTAAGAGCAGCAGAACGTGCAGAGCTACAGTTTATCATCAAAGAAAATTAGCTTTTTTCTTATAAAAACACTTGCATTAATTCATTTTACCATTTAAAGGTTTTTTTTATTTAAAGAATGATTCCGTACATATAAATGTCTTAATTCTGGACTACATCTTGTCCTGAAACATAGTTTCCACTGCTAATCAGCAAGAAAACAGCACAAATACTGTATATGTGTGCTCCTTTATTTTCTGTTTCAAATGTTTGAAAATAATTTATTTAATACAGGGTTCGACAAGTTAGTTGTTTTTTGACAAATGACCCCAAATATTTAAATATTAGGTCTTGATGTGGGCGGAGACAGCCCTACTCGTGATTGGCGGAGGGCTTGATGTGGGCGGAGACAGCCCTACTCGTGATTGGCGGAGGGCTTGATGTGGGCGGAGACAGCACTACTCGTGATTGGCGGAGGTCTTGATGTGGGTGGAGACAGGCCTACTCGTGATTGGCGGAGGTTTTGATGTGGGCGGAGACAGCCCTACTCATGATTGGCGGAGGTCTTGATGTGGGCGGAGACAGCCCTACTCGTGATTGTAACCCCAAAATTACCAAAAATTACAACCCCAAAAATTTCCTAATTTCCCTCTGAGATCAATAAAGTATTTTTGAATTTTGAATTTGAAATGTTACCTGCCTGACATGAAAGGTTACTGCTTCAAAACAAAAATGCTCAAAACTTTATAAAATATATAAAATCGTTTGCTGATTTTAAACACAAAACAGTTACTGACAGCAGAAATATTACTAGTTTTTATTAAAAGTCTATTTTTTTAATGACCGAAAATGAAAAATTCAATTTAATTTACATTAGTTGAGTCTTATAGCCTATCTCATATTTAAAAATACGTTTAAGTTATCTTGAATTGAAGCCTCAATACAACTTACCATACATGGTAAATATTATAATATCTAATAGATATTTTGCCTGGTCAAAATATATTTAAAGATATCTGAAATATTCATTTCTAAACATAAAGTAATTTCAAATATTTGGAATGTAATTGTGGTGAAGTCAATTAAATGTAAAAACGGCCTGCCGTACTGTAATCCTCCACATGTTGCTGAAAACGATCAGCTGCTCTCAGAGCAGAAGCT